AAGGATGATGAGAAACACTTGTCTCATTCGCTGAACCAACAGATGGAGTGGCTGCGTTTGGGCCAGGCCCGCACAGTAGGGGTGCAGTGGGGAAAGGGAAGATAGGCAGCTCCCTTGGCCTTGGAGTTTGACTCTTTATTGGCAAGTAGTGGCAGAACCAACGAAAGCCATGCCAGAGACCCCCTTCTTTCGCGACACATCAAGCAGGGCAGACACATAGCTGCAAGTGACATCCTCAGTTCTTCCCATTTCTCTGTCTGACTGGCATCTGATGCTACCACTTACACCACCTTCCACAGGCCATAACCCCCATCTAAAACCCATGAGGCCAGATGTGCTCTGGAGCGTAGCACTTGGGGCTTTTAGAAAGCTAACAAAGGTGGGAACCTAAAATGGCACAGCCACTTTGGAAACCAGTTTGGCAGTCTCTTAGAAAGTTAAGCATATACCGAACACATAACCCAGCAGACCCAGCCCCGGGAACGTACCCAAGGGAAATGAAACTTACGTTCCCAATGTGCCCCCAAAGCCGGCACATGTGTGTTTATAGCAGATCTAGTCATAATCCCCCAAACTGGAGACAGCTCAATGCCCTTCAGATAAGAAATGGATAGACCAACGGTGGTCTTTCCACGTGGTGGAATACTACTGAGCAGTAAAAAAGGACAAACTATTGATACAGGTACAACATGAATGAATCTCAAAGGCATTACACTGAAGGAAAGAAACCGCTCTAAAGGCTACATATTGTGTGATTCCATTGATATGACCTTCTGAAAAGGCAAAATTACAGGGATGGAGAACAGACCGATGGTTGCCAGGAGCAGGAGGCTGGCGGAGGGGCTGACTCAAAGGGGCACTAGGGAATATTCTGGGGTGTCGGAACTGTTCTACATCTTGATTTTGGTGGTGGTTATACAGCAGGATGCATTTGTCAAAACTCATAGAACTGTACACTAAAAAGGGTGAATTTTGCTATACGTGAGTTATACCCCAACAAACCTGATTTTAAAAAAAAGAAGAAAAGGTAACAGATGCTTCTATGATACAACCTGGATACTCCAAGTGTGGCCCATGGGGCAGCTGCATCGGCAATCCCAAGGGGCTGGTTGAGAAGCGGAGTCTCAGGCCCCACTACAGACCTGCAGGACCAGAATCACCATTTTAACAAGAGCCCCAGGCGAGTCCCATGCACACAGGAGTTTGAGAAGCCCAACCACATATCCTCTACCACTTCCCCTGGGGGCTGCAACATCATCCCACATTCAAGCATATTTAACATTTCTGTGGCAAAACACACCAAAATTCACACTCAATGAGATCAGGACTGTAAGCAGCCTTGGATCAAATCAGACTAGGTTTTCTCCCTACAGCTTTTGGTTTTCAGAGTTTTGGATTTGGGGATTGTGGGGGAGAGACTGTACCCTTGTAGAAGAAAACTCCAATAGAAAAAGCCAAGTTAATTCTTAAAATCCATTGCCATTGAGTCAATTGCTACTCACAGTGACCCTACAGTACAGAGTAAAACTGTCCCGAAGCGTTTCCACGGCTGTAATCTTTACAGAAGCAGATAGCCCCGTTTTTCTCCCTTGGAGCAGCTGATGGGTTCAAACCACCAACCTTTTGGTTAACAGCCGAACACTTTTTAACCATTGCACCATCAGGGCTCCTTAGCTAATTCTTACTTCCTAGAATTTTGCTTTTCTGGAATTACCAGCCAAGCTGAGCTCGTAGAAGGATCATATGGATCCTGGACCACTGTGCCCTCTACGGTGGTACCTCCATGCACATTGTACATTTTGGAACAGGCGAGAGTCTGATAACAGAACCCAGTTTCTCCCAGGGCTCTCTCTATGTCCCATGTAGAACTTTTTTTTTTTAAAGAGGCTTCCATTAAAAAAGTTTGGGGAGGGCCAATCGGCGAACAAGACTAGGCTACGTGATATCAGTGTGACGCTGGGCTTCCTTCGGGATTTCTGCAAACACGGATGGAAAGGGATTCATGAGACTGAGCATGAGACATACAGATCTGTGGTCACGGTTCTTGCAAAGGCCCAGATCCCTACGCACATTCAGTGGGGGATCTGCTGGCCTTGGAAGGGAGGGAAGAGGATGTGTGCCTCAGTGCTAGGCAGAACATCAAAAGGGCAAGTGGTATCAAGCGGGGGGCTCTAGGAAACTAGAAACCACAAACTCCAGCCAGTTGTCATTGAGTCAATTCCAACCCATGGTGACCCCATGTGTGCAGAGCAGAACTGCACTCCATGGGATTTTCATGGCTGTGAGCTTTCGGAAGCAGATTGCCAGGCCCTTCTTCAAGGCCTTGCTTCCGAGGTGCCTCTAGGTGCGTTCGAACCACCAACCTTTCAGTTAGTATCCCCACACTTAACCGTCTGTACCACCCAGGGGCACCAGGAAAATTGACATCTGTGCCTCATGGAGCTGACAGATTTGAGCTCTTTAGAAGCCATCAGAGCCCATCACAGCCATATTTAAATTCAAACTTCCAATCAACGAAAACATGGAACCAAGGTGTGTGGTCGGGTAAACTCCAGGAGAAAAAGGCAGCAATGTATACGTGAATATCAAAGACTTCCACTTGGGTTTTCTTAGGAAGAGAAACATACAATTAATAAGAAGTTTTAATTCTCATTGGTGGCTTCAAGCTTGAGCTATTGTGAGGGGTGGTGCGGAAAGGAAAGGAATCACAGAGGCCAAGTACGTGTGCACGTGAGGGACACAGGCTTGTACGCTCTACTGCATACCACACCCGAATTTGCATCTAGAAACAACACTCTTAGGCCCTATGAGCAAACAGCCAAGTTCCAGGAACCTTCACTCACTCCTTCCCGAGACAGTGAGGAAGCTACTTTTCATACGACCCTGCAACCCTAACTAAACATTATTTCCAAATATAAGTCCCACCAGAGGCGCCTCAAAAAGTGGCATGGCAACTCCACTCCTAGTGTAGACGCTGGGAAAATGCCAGAACAACAAAAGTTCATCAAAAGACATGTCCAAGAATGTTCCTAACAGCACACAGTGGAGACCACCCAAATGCCCCAACAGTAGAATGGGACAATAAATGCTCGTACAGTCACACAATAAGACATTACACAGCCATGAGAAGAAACCACCTACAAGTGCTCGCCGCAGCATTGATGAATTCACAGACATTATGTTGACTCAAAGGAGCCAGACACAAAGAAGCCTATTGTGTGACTCCATGTATATGAAGTTCAAAAGGAGGCAAAACTAACCTGTGGGGTTGAAAGTTAGGCTAATGGTTACGCTTGTGTGGGGGGGGCGGGGGGTGACTGGGAGGGGACGCAAGGGGGCACTGGGGAGCTGGTCACCTTCTGTGTCTTGATCTGGCTGTTGGTTTCACGAGTGTGTTCACTTTGTGAAAATTAATTAAGCTCAACTCGACTTGTGAACCGTCCTGCATGTATGTTAGACTTTATTCGAAAAGTTCAAAATCAATACTTAAACACATTTTTTAAAAATGGCAGAAGTATCTGAATAAAGAAGTCCATACTCTGCCCTGCCCCTGACTCCTCAGTGTTTCCACCCAGGCTTTGGGCTAACTTGCTTTTTTGATGTTCTCCAGCTGTCTACCAACAATCTCCATCTCCTTGCCTTGGTCTGAATTCTCTTATCCAACCCTCAGGGTCTCCGCCCTTGCCCTCATCTCCCCCAGAGAAAGCCTAGTCCTGGATGATCCTGCTTGGGGACAGATGGGGAGGGGGGTTTTCCCTTCCAGAGTAGTGCTATAAAACGTGCTTGCTACCTTGGGCCAAGGAGACAAAACCGTCTGCAGAGAACAAAATGCACAAACTCATCTCGAAGCTACTGAGAAAGCTTTCAGTGAACTCACCAAAGCAAGCTGGAGGTTGCCAGCGCACACACTGTTCACCTGCAGCCCCCACCATTCCTCCTTCTGAGGCGCCCCTGCAATCCTCTTCTCCCCACCAGCCTCTGAGCAGCAGGATCCAGGCTGGACCAGGGTGAGCTAAGGACACCACAGAAGGACTCCCCACTTCCTTCCTTTCCCCTAGAAGACTCCACATCCAGGCTCCAGAAGGCAACTATCTCCAACATGGACAGCTGGCAGTCTAGTGAACCCCTCCCGTACCCCCACAGCTATCTGAGGGTGCGCACACTGACACCTCCAAGTCTCCGCCATTCACCCTGGGGGTAGGGAGAAGAGAGAGTACCACCCAACCCTTGAGCACTTCAACAGGCCTGGTGTGTGAAGGAACTGCCCACCTTAAGGATCAGCTTCTTCATGAGGTTGGAACTTAGAAGGCCAAGATCGATGCTTCTTCTTAGGCATCACTCGAGATGACACCATGGTTAGGGGTACACCTCCCCAAAGGGATCTCCGCCAAGCCTCTTAATTTTTACCGCTCTCAAGGTAGACTGTTCACACACTCCAAAACCTCAGAGCCCCCATTACAATGCCAGTACCCAGAAGCCAAGAACCTGGTTCCACCTCAAACCCCCCTAGAAGTGGATCCACCACTGCTTTCCCCAAAATGCAGCACCAGGACCATCCAGGGCCCCAGCCCAGTTGTGTCTACAACAGCCAAAACCAAACACGAAAAGAATGGGGGACTCGGCGCTGAACCCCAGAGGCCCCCCGGCTGCTCATTCTTACACTAAGGGCATCCAGTGGGGGCCCAGCTGAAAGCCGGCACATCTGGGCAGGGCACAGTGGCCAGCCAGCCAGGGAAGCAGGTGAGTCCGTCCCCCACCCCCCATTTGAATCTGGGTCATGCTTAGATAACCGCTAGAAAGCCCAACTAATTACCCACCCTGCCTGCCTACATCTCAACAGATGTTAAGCCCTCCTCAAGGTTTATTTCAAGCAGGCAGGGATTTAAAGGAAACACAATGGGATCTACATTTTGATGGAACATCAGTAGAGGAAAATGTGGACTTCACCTTCTTCCTCTGGATCTTTGATTAAAAAAAAAAAAAAGAGGGAAGGGATTTACCTGCCAGAGATGGTCTGTCCACAGGAGGCTGAGTCTCCGGTGTCCCTTCCCGGTTCCCTGGGGTGGGAGAAGCAGAATCCAGCCCTGGCTGGACCGTCCACCCTAGGAAGGACCTGACACCTCATTTCTTCATGCCCTGTCTTTCTTATGGAAACAACCCAGGATGGGTGTTGCAGGCCAGGGGCCCAGGTAGGGCAAATGGGATCTGTTCTCTACATCTCAAAAGATGATGAGGTCCCTGTTCAGTGGGGGAAAAGGGGCCTGCAGACATGGGGGACAGTAAGTGCCTCCAAGCCACCACTTCCTCCCCAGATGGGGGCCACAGCCCACCAGGATCTGAAGTCTAGCTGCTTAATGAGAAGCCCACACGGTACCCACGGGCTCTTCTCCCGCCAGCCCCCCAGCGCCCCCCTGCCTAAGAGTGCGGCCCCTCCTTGGGGAAGCAGGCTGGGGAGGTCGGGAGCTGGTACTGGGCTCCAGTTCCCAGAGGCTCCCGTTTCTACCGGGTGAGGGACGGCCAAGACAGCCGGCCAAGGCCCCCCCCGTCGTCGCTCTACTCTGGCCAGAAGCGCCCAGGCCCCGGCCCGGTCCCAGCTCGCTCGGGAGAACTCAGACCCTCCGGAACCGGCTCTGAAGCCCTCGCCAAGGCCCCAGCCGACCCCAGGCCCATCCCTCATTCTGCACTGGGTCCTTCGGAGGGCCCCCCCAGCCTCCACATCACCCCGCTAGGGTGCAGAGAACTCTCACTCCTCCTGGTGCCCCTTCTCGAAGCCCCTGGAAGACCCCCCACCTCCCATCAGCCCCGGTCTCTCCCCGCCGGGTAGAGGGAGGCGGCGAGGAGGGGGAGGCGCCGCGGGGCTCGGGCAAAGGATATGGCCATTCGGTGATCTTTTTGGCGTATTTTCTCACCACGTTGTCCTCGCTGAAGAGGAACAGAGACCGGTTGACCGTGAGGCAGTTCTGTCGGACGGGGATGGGGTTGTAGAGGGCCATGGTCCGCGCTCTCTGCGCCATGGACTGCTTGTACATCCTTTGCGCCCCGGGCTGCCCGCCCTGCCGGCTGCCCCCGGTGCCTCGCCCGCCGCCGGCGCCCACGACCAC